AGCTCTTTCAGTCAAGGAAAAACAAATGACCCATTCTCTCGCCAAAAACAATTTGCCACTCTCATTTTCCCAGAAAACAAATGGAAAATAAAATGCAACCAACAGTCTTTACTGTGTATCTGATAAACGTTTATCTCCCACAAGCACGTGGATGGGTGCTTACCCAGATGTCATGTTCATATACATTTAGCACCCCCCACACCCCACGCACAGGTATGGAAACAGCCATACCTCTCATCTTTCAGGTGAAGAGTAAATCGATCATACAGGCAGCTTGGCATTGTGCAAATCCCCAAAAGTTAAACTGCTCCATTAGCTGTAGTAGCTCCATTTCACTCTACAGCTAACTTATTTATTAAACATCTGTCTACCAGATTTTTACTGTACATCTATTGTATGGCATGTGTTTTGATAGGCCCTGGACATAAGCAGTGAACAAAAGGTGCCCTTAGTGTGTTTATTTTCCGGTGATTTTATATAGTGTGCATAGCTTCTGGTGAAGATACATTTTTTTCTCTTATCTAAAAATATTGTCTTATCTAGATATATCTGGTACTTGAATAGTCACAAAGAACAGTCCATCATTAACTAGCTGTTTCTGAGTATGTACCACAAAACATTTGTTGTCTCTGTGTTCCCATCAGGTGGAGACCTATGTGTAGTGCTGTTCTACTTCCTTCGCTATATCTTACATGAGTGATGTAGAAAGAAGTGAAATTAAGGAAATCAGTATAACTTTTTTGTAACATACTTTTCTTATAATTCACACTAATTTAACATGACTTGTGAGTGCTGGTTTTTCAAAACCATTGTCAATATTTTCCTTTCCATGTCACCATTAACTTGGGGGAAAGGACTTAACTTCTAAAGTAGACTGAGCACAACATGCACTGTACAAGGCAAAAACAAAATCAAAAGTTCTTATTAGGTTGAATCTACTGATTTTTTTAAAAAATTAATAGAAAAATTTAGTATCTTTGTTTTTCTTTAACTAAAGAGTGCATGTAGTATGATACTAAAGAGTATCATATAGTAATTTATGACAAGATAACAGATAAGAAATACATAAATAAAAAAATTATATTCATATAGAAGTACAGTACTTACAGTTCTAAGTAGTTGATATTTTATGATTTATGTATGGATATAGAACATTGATCAGCCTTATCAGATTGCTTAACTCATCAGATACTCCATAGTCCATAATGTTAATAGCTTCTAGAATAATTTACATATTCAAAGTAATATATAAAAGTAATTTCTTGAGAGAACATTCAATACTGAATAGGAATTCCATTTAAAAACATGGTTCTTAGAACATACATTTAATGTATGTATTTAATATTTAATGTCAGTGCAGTCTGGAAGAAGACAAAACTAGACACTGATGCTCAGTTTTAGAGAATCACAGAATGTCAACATCGGACTCTGATAGATCATCTGGTGCATCAGGCAAGGAAGGGGAAGAGAAAGAAGCTCCCTTGTGTGCTATGATACACACTCACACAGACCACCTTGAGAATTACTGACTTCATCCAACCCCATTATTTTATAGACAAGAAGACTGAGGTCCAAACAAGTAAAGAAACCTGTCAAATAACACATAAAGGGAGTGGCAGAGATTGGACCAGGTGCACCTGACCCCATCTGCTCTTTGTCCTGCTGTACTGAACCTTTTGTACATTGCTGTAGAATCCCTCGGTTTGTTCTTTAAAGATTAGGTTATCCAAACAAGCTTCTGTTGTATAAGAGGCGCCTCTTCTAACAAAAGAATTCACAGATTTGGGTTATTGATAATAGATTTTTGGTTGTTATTGTGGTTGAAGTTTGTTTTTGGAAAGTGGAGAGGAAAGTTTAATTATAACTACAGCTATCACTATTACTTAACAATGTGTAGGCTTTAAAATTTAGTGAGAAAAGTAGCAGTTGGATCTATGTATACATTCTGTGCACACACACACACACACAGTGATGATAATGGTTTTCTGTTTATCAGTGTAAAATTAAGTGATTCAGTATGAAAATGGTTTTAAAGAGGCTCTGTCTTTGAGAGTGCTTAGTCCTCAGTGGGGGTAGAACATATCACTCACTCCAAGTCCTTTTCTCTCTATCTAAGTCATGAAACTGCCATGATGGTCTTCAAAACAAGTGTCCCCAGCCCTCCAGGACTAGGAAAAAGGTCACCAAACAACACATAGCATGAGTGTCCAGGGGAAGTGGGTGAAAGGGAGAATAAAATATCTATCTGCCATATAATTGCAGTTCATCTAAATAAAGAACTGTGATCCCAGAGCCACCTTTCCCCTGCGCTGAACACCCTTGAGCAAGCAGGCATGTTAGTGAGGGATTAGCTGCCATTCCTGCCTCCAGTGGGGATGAACTGAAAACTCTAAGCTCTCCCCTCCTTTATTTTGCAATAATCTGTGGTGCATAATATCTTTTTTATATGTACTCCACTTTAAACCTGTGAGGAATAATTTTCACTGTGTTAACTAGTGGTATATAATTGACTGAGAACAATGACACAACTTATAGAAGAGGTACTCTAGTCTCTGCTTCAAAAATATAGTACTCTTCAATATTAATGTGACTTTAAAAAAAATTACAATTGACTTTAATTGACTTACTACTAGCCAAACATAATGTCCATGGCTTTACATAACTAGTCTTATTTAATCCTTACAACAACTGATGTTGATGCAGTTTTACATTTGGGGAAACTGAAGCTTAAAGAGGTTAAGTACCTGGCCTAAGATCCACGTCAGTAAGTAACAAAGCTGGAATTGAGATTCAAATTTATATAGCAACACAGATGGTGCTTTCGATGTGCTGCTTTCTCTAATTTTACACACAGACCTACAGCTCTCATCCTAACAATATTAAACATTAACATAACAAATCTGTAATTTAGCTTTTTGTACAGCTTTGGCAGAAATTAATGAAATCTTCTGTGTGTCAAATTCTGGATCATTTCAACTGGAGTTCCCCTAATGATATCACAAACAAGCCTCTAATGATCCCAATGAAGAATCATATACTGGAAGTTTCCACAAATGCCAACTCATTCCTTGGAGTTGATTAAAGACAAATTGAGGGGTAGCAACTACACAAAACTAGTCAAGGCTTTTTTTTTTTTTTTTTAAAGAAATTAATCCCAGTATCTAGATAGCCTAATGCAGTGACTTGACAACTTAAATGGAAACACTGAATAAATGTTTTTTCTCTTAAGCAAAGAACATATTTACAGCTCATGAGTCCCAGGCCACAGTGAAGACCTATGCTGGAGTGGAGGCTGTTTTCTGCACCACTGACTCACCCACCCTTGGTCTTGTGCATTTTGGGTGTCACTCACTGTCATTATTTTCATGTAGTATATCTAATGTTTTTATTTGGTAATCAAAACTATAGAGCCTTCTATGATGTTGTTTTAATTGGGCACAAAATTAAATACATTCCCAAAGAGAAATGAAACTGAAAGGAACTAGTCAAGATCGTAACCCTGTTTTCTGTTGGGGTCACACTTGGTAATTAAAGATGCAAATGTCTAGGTCTGTCAGTCCTGTCTACCTTTTGACTCAAAGACCTATGAAGTGGGATGTCTAGGTTAAGTGTAGGGAAGCTGTAAACCACCTTTAACTGTTATTAGAATACTTTTTGCATCCTCAAACACTGCAACATTCATCTTTTACATTGTTCATATTATGGTAAGCTTAGGGAGAGTTTTCAAAGAAAAAGAAAATGTCTGACTAATGGAATAAAACCTATATAATAATCCCGAGTCTGGTTCTATCATGTTTTCCCACCCTTATTAATATTATAGCTCAATTTCAAATAAAAATTAATTACTAGGTTGTGGTTAATGCGAGTCTGGCCAAATTAATTTATAACGGGAGGCCCGCTATTTTTATTCTACTCTTCAGTTCCCAGGTGACTTCAGTCAGTAAATTTCATAGAAATGAATACTTTTAAAAAATATGCATGGTTTCACCGTTCAGCAGCTTTCTGAGTTAAATGGTTACTATTAGCAAATATACATAGTCAGTCTGAGAGACCTTGCTAGTCTATTTTTGATAACATGATCTTGGCTCCCTTGTGGCTTGATGATGAGTTCTTGGTAACATTATCCTTTCTGACAGGTTTAATTGAAGCAAGTTATACTTTTAAAAACTGGTTATGTGTATAAAAAGCCGTAGTAGCTTGCTGTGTTCTATTTGGTACTTGGAAAATCAGGCTCTGGGTGAATATTTTTCACTTGCAGCTATAGCTCAGTTTGTCACTGTTACTGACACAAGCAATCAATCTCAATCCTTCTATTCTAGTCGCTTTCCAAAACTAAAGCTACATGTCCCCAAATCCTAGCCTCCTTTTGTGTGGCAGATGACATCTTTCACTGATAGTGGATAATAAATTTACATTCAACCCACATGTGGAACGTGAACACATAAGCACCCCACACGCAGTACAATTCAAAGTGACATTGCCTTTTTTCCTCCTACCTCAGTGATGCAGAACAGCAGTTATATATTAATATCCCTCTGGGGCGGTGGGGGGGGGGGGCGGGGAGGAACTGCATGGAAAGAAAGGAGCAAGAGAAGGCACCTCAGTCTAGCCAATGTGTAACAAAAGCCCCAGAGCAAACTACAGTTCTTAGCAGATACCTTGATAAGATTCCCAGGACACAGCACTGAGGAAAAGTGAATTCTCTAGTGAGATACATCTCACTGGTTAACCCAGCCACATCATCACTGTCAAAATTCAGTTTAAACACAATGTCCTCCTTCGCCTCAATGCACCTCTATATCCAGTTCTGCGAGCCTCAGCTCTGCGAAGATCAGTATTCTCTTTACAAAAGTATAAGCTCATATTCTGGGTCATCCATCAGTTGTACCCTTTGATTACAGACTACACCCAGTAAGGTGTTTTCTGTGGAAGATGCCCACAGCAATACCCATCCCAGGGACAGTGAAATGGAAGGAGAAACGATTACATGGGTCACTTACCAGCTCCTGAGTCTGAATGGCTGCAGCCGCCCCCGCGCTTTACCTGATCCCTTGCTCTCTGTCTCTCTCCCTCTCTCTCCCTCTTTCTCTTGTGTACAGATTGCAGGGGACTTAAAGAACTCCCAGGGACAGTGTTTCAAATGACTTAAGAAAGAGAACAGGAACAATACTTCGTTCTCTTTTTCTCAGATGAGTACCTTCGGGAAGAAGGAAGGAAGGGAGGGGAGAGGGAGGAAGTCAACAACCCTTTGCTTTCCTGAAAAAAAATAAGGAAACAGAAGATAGACATCTCATTTTCTCTTAAACAAAATGTTGGAAGGGGCAAAAAAAAAAAAAAAAAATCTTTGAAAAGAGGAATTCCTTAAATATGCTCTCTGCCCCGGGAGCTTTAAAGAGATGAAAAGCCTTTACTGGCTTGGCCTGTCCAAACAAATGGTGTTCCAGAAAGGCAGGCTCTCCTGCACTTGCAGCCTCTCGTATCTGGTTTGCAGAACTGACACAGCCTAAAGGGAACAAATCATGTCATGTTGGCTCTGAGCAAAGGAGAGTTTGGGCTGGTGTATTAACTGAGGCAAACCTGCAGCCCTGTGACCGGGCAGTTCACAGTCAGCCAGAACTTTAGGCTCTTCCTGGGCCCTTGGAAACGCCAGCATTGCTGCAATTCTTCAGCCCGACTCTAGGCCCTTAGAGTTCTTTAGGCTGCAATGGCAGATTTATGCACTGGTCACTAAGTTTTATGCCACAGACAGTCAAGTTTCCATCTTTGATGATGAGTAAAAAAGAAAAAAAAAAAAAGGCAACTTAGCACACTGCTGCTGGACATAGTTATCTCAGAACTGTCCTTTACATACCAAATGCTTGTTGGATTCAGTGACCTCTGGAAAAACTAGAAGGTGATTTCTAAATTCTTTTTAAAAGACTGTAAAGCAGCATAGTTCATAGGTCAGAAACAAGTCAGCCGGATTTTTGAAAATGATGGGAAGGCTGAATAGAGAGAAATTTGTCATGCCCTTTGTCATGATGAGGGGTTAACGATTCACAGGGAAGGTATGAGCTCTGTGTCAGGGTTAGGTGCACTTCGGAATCAACTTGGTTAAAACTCTCTGATTGCATTGTGTTTCTTATGTTCTTCATTCATCTGGTTAAGAGCATTTTCACTACCAACAGGAACCAGCAGTTATGTGGATCTTTGTGGCAGCAAAAGAAAAACCACCTATAAGGTACTTCCTTATTTTACTCAATTGTGAAAAAAAAAAAATGGAGTGGCCAATTATAACCTGAGTAATTACAAAGAGCAATTAACGTGAATTCAACCTCTGTAACTTTTATTGGGTCCTTCAGCCACTAACGTTATTGTTATAGTCCAACAGTTTTCTTGCCCCATTAATATCTATTATCTTTCTCTGTGTGTACTATCTGAGTGTGAGTGTCTCTGGAAAGGTACTGTTACACTGTAAGTTTGTAAGAACCAAAAAGAATGAAATCTTTTTCTTTGCTTCTGCCATGGCACCAGTATTGGCAAACACATGGCACTGGGTTTTCTGGGATGGATGATCCAATCCCACCTATAAATAAGAAAACTGACACGCAGAGAAGAGTCTACAGTTTGCCCTGGGTCACACACAGCAGTGGCTAAGTCAAGATGCTCATTGGTCTCCTGGGCCAGTTCCCCTGCTCTTTGCCCTCTGCTGGCCTTCCTCTATATCCTGCCTTTGTAGATGGGGAGGGAAATGCAAGTGCAACTGGAAGAAAGCAAGAGAAGCACGAGACTGGAGTGCTGCGGGAATAGGAGTTGATTCCTGAAAGGAGGAGCCATGGGTGTGTGTGGGGGGGGGGGACTTGGGGTCACTGTGGGGGCACTCAAGGCCTCTGCTGACTTGCACAATGACAAGTGAGAGTAGGGGGGCAGCTGAGGGGCAGCGAGGAGAGTTGAGAGAGGCTGGGCTAGGTTTCTGTAGTCAGTGGAGGAAATGAGGGGTGTGAAGGAACAGAGCAGCTCAGGCTCTGAAGTCCTGGCAGGGATGGAAATATCTGTGATGGGCTGAAGACTCAGTGGCAGCTAGAGGCAGCCTTCCTTATTTTCATTCCTCTTGCAGCCTCAGGGCAAGGGCAGGGCTGAGCCCCAGGAGCCCAGTCAGAATCCAAAGGATTTCCCTTTTAAGTCTGCAGAATGTGGGGACTGTCACGTTGAGAAGGGTTGTTTTCTCCAGGCCAGCTGACCCGCCCAGAGACAGCCTCCATGGGGGCACTGGGCCACCACAGCTGCGCAGCTTGGATTTCATGCAGCAGCTCCAGTGAGGATCTGCAGACAGCACCCCTGGCAGGGCCTGAGCGCCCTCTCTCATATTGAAAGCTCCTGTGAAGCAGCAGCAGCCTCTGCTAAGTCAGCTACAGTGCTGCTGAGGGGATTCTCCAGCGTGCTTGTGCCAGCCTGTCCCCTCAGACCTTCTGGTGGCCTGCCTGTGAGACTCCTGGCAGAGACTGCTCCCTCTTTGCCTGCTTGGCCAATCCTGAAGTATCCTCTCCTACTTGGAACACCAGCCCCTGGGAGCTGAGCAGCTGCAACTCCTGAGTCCCTCCCATCAGGCTTCACAGGCGACATTGATTTCTAGTCAGGTCATCAAGCTGGTGAAGCTCGCTGTCCTGCTATGCATGGGGTGTTTCAGTTTGTTTTCACATTCTGACTTAGGTGGAGGGATTGGAGATTTGCACCCCAGACAGCTGAACAGGTGCACATGCATATGTGGATGTTGAGCTCTTTTAGGCAGGAAAAGGAGGTCTTCTCTCCGCTGTCACTGGCTGTGGAACAAGGGGAAAAACTAGGATAATGAAATTTAATGAAAAGAAATGTTAAGACTCAAAGCCAGCACTACAGAATTCTAATCAAAATTGATCCAAATTCTGAAGTAGCCTAACTACTTCTCTACTTTCCAGTTATCCAGAACCCTAGGACAGTCTGTTCACTGTAGGACTAAGTTTGACTTCAGTCATGGAGGGTGAGGAAGTAGAGTAAGAAATGAAATGCTCAGAATGGTGCACTAAGAATTAAGTATGCAAGTCAGTGACCTTGAATAACATGAACACATCTGAGTAACAGATCAAGAAGCAGAGGACCCCTGCACCCCTCCAAGGGCTGCCTCACCCCTCACAATTCTGTCGCCTCATTTTGCATTTACTTAACAAATAGCATTGAGTTGCCCTTGTTTGTTTTGGGTTTCATTGCATCAATATCTTATTCTTGATTCCCCCTAGTGTTGCGTGTAGTAAGGGTTCACTCACTGTCACTGCTGGGAAGTATTACAATCTGTAACTTCACTAAAGATGGACAATCAGATTGTTTCTAGCTGGGATAGTTATAAGTGGCCTTCAGGAATATTCCCATCCCTGCCAGGTCTCTTTTTTTAAAGCCTGATGTAGGACCCACTTTTTGCAGGAAGATTGTCCATTCTAGTCGTAATATTTTAGGTTAGGTTAGGTTAGGTTTCTTTTTGCACCCTCTTCCTCTCATATGGGGTACATAGCATGGGTTTTTATTATTATTATTATTATTTAATCAAATGGATTTGATTTCAGTACATGGTGTCACCCTTGGAGATATTGGCAGCTTCAGAATATATTGGGAGCCACTGTTCTCACTTTCTGCTGCAGCACGGAGATACCAGTTTCTGATCCAAATCACACTCTGTGTGTTCTCCACGTCCCTTCCTGATTTGTAGAAAGCAGGTCTCTTCTCCCGCCTCAGGTTTGCTCACTGACATGCTAAGTTTCATTACTGAGCCTGAAACTGCTTGAAACTTCCTTTGCTTCTTATTTTTTTTCTTTCTCTTGCCAAGCCCCTGCTGTATCTTCCAAGTCCCACTCAAAATTGAGAACATTCATTTCTCTCTTCCCTTTTAGTTATTTTTTCCCCCAACATTTCAACAAATTACTGAAGAAAGTATGTTTTATGCATCCAGTTTCCTTATGTGATAGGTGGAGACAAATAGCACACCATCTTATTATAGTTTTAAGAATAAAGCAGGCCCTCCCTGGTGGCGCAGCGGGTTAAAGCACTGCACTGAGAAGCTAAAGAATAAAGCAAAATAGTTAATAGTTCATGTATACCAGGCACTATTCTAAATACTTTACATGTCAAAACTCACTTAATTTTCACAACAGTCCTTTGAAGTAGCTGCTATTATTATCTTCCCCTCCTCTTCTTTTTTGCTAGGTGAAGAAACTAAAACATAGAGCCTTTGTGCTACTTCTCAATAGCACCCAGTAATATTTCAAACCCACAGAGCCCTCAATTTTAACCACAGAGGTGACTTACCCTGTCTTCTCAAGAAACAAATCACATAATAAAATCTCAGTTAATGATCCCAAGAATTGGAGAGCAAACATTTCATAAAATAAAAGGCAAAAATAATATGGCACAGAGCCACTTGGTCACCAAGTCTTATGGACTAGAGGCCCATGGGAGGCTAATATGCTGCTGGGTTTTAAAACCTTTTGAGTAGAGACATGCTCAGTAAGTTAAATCATTCCAAATAGTTGAACAATTAAGTGGTCAGTGCTCTGAAGGGGAAATATGGAAGCAAGGAGAATTTCTTATAGTCAGGACCAACTCTGGAGAGAAGGTCTCGCTGAGAAAATGTAACGTGCACTAAGTCCTGAAGAATGGGCAACATGAGCCAAATAGAGGTGTGGACACTACAATTGCTTGTGCAAGGGACAGCCTGGTGGTCTGAGTTCAGACTCTGAACTTTACCCAAAGATGCATGAGAAATCACTCTACACAGGAAAGGGATATGATCAGTTTGTGTTGTAAACTGAATCTGCTCTGGTTCCTGTGCAAAGTTGGGTTGTGGAGGGCCACGAGGAGAAACAGATGATGAATTGTCAAGTCTAGTCGAAGTTTGATCATGCCAGAAAGGGCTCTCATGGTGGATATGCTGGTGTCTCGAGAGGTCTTGGGTGATAACAGTTTAACAGCTGTGCTGATAATGTTGTATGACAAGAGTCTGTTGCAGAAAGAATATAGGTAATGCCGGGCACAAGACAGCTGGCTTATGAAAGATTCACACTTTTGAACAGCAGTATTTTCTCCCATGTCTCTGTCTGCATACCTCACTTCCGGAGCCTGCAAAGCTGATT